GGATTACATTTATGAAAAATAGGCTGGTCCTAATTTCATGAAGTAATTCCTACACGGCCTATCATTAATCAGATCAATAGCCTCCTGCTACAAGGATGTAGCTACCGCTGGTTGCGCAATAGTCTTAATTTTGGCCCTCATACCGCGCCATAGAAACTGGGGATCCCATGGCACACCCATGTTTCTGCCTATAATATTGCCCCCCATACGTGAAGTAGGTTGATTCCAGGCACAGTTTGAGGAGTTGGCACACTTGTTCTGTGGAAAGTGTGGTTCTGCTGCTGAGAGTGGTGTCTGATTTTAATCTTGCACAGACCACATCCACTGCCTTATCCCGCTATGTCCCTATATACAGTATGGTTATGTTTAAGAATACTTCAGGAAGTATACTTCAGTAAATAAATTGTATTCTACAGGTGCCCCTTACAAAACAAAATATATTGCAATATACTGGAAAATATCATGTAACACTTTAAGCCAGAGGTTCTCAAACTGGGGTCTCAGGACCCCCAGGGGTCCGCAAGAGGTATCTTAGGAGTCCTCAAAAAATTTCACTAAATTGTTCATTTGTTTTTTATTTTTAAAAATGCATAGGCAAAAAGGAACTAATAAAACAAACATAATAAATTAAATAAAAATATATATTCCCATGGTATTGAAGGGTTGAAATGACAGTAAATTATCTTTTAAAACAGCATGGGGTTTATGAGGGGGTCCCTGGAATTTTTTCACCCTTGTAAGGGGTCCTCAGACCCAAAACATTTGAGAACCCCTGCTTTAAGTATTCCCATATATGAAATTTAGTACTAAGCACAGACCAGGGCTATTCAACTGGCAGTCCGCGGGCCACATCAGGCCATCTCTTCAGCCCAAACCCCTGGTTTTCTACATTAATTCCTATAAGTTCTTTTAGTTAAACATAGACATGTGTGGTAGCTACAGAAACGTCCGAATCTTGGCTAGAAGCTGGTAAAAAAAGTCTATGAAAACCCAAGATACTTAAAACTACAAGCAGCTGAGGATGAAAACTAAGGTAAGTAAAAATAAAATTGGTTTTAAAATGTTGCAAGTTAAATACAGAGACATAATGTGCTATTTTAGTTTTTATATCGTTTATTAAATGTGGTTCTGTTTGTTGTATTGCATGATTAAATGCAGCAAAATAAACAATTTCAAAGGTAACAGATATTTGTGATACTTGGTTTAATTACAGAATGATTTTAATTGCTGGATGTTCAGCTCCTGAGCTGTTGGCCTGCATTAACTGTGGCTCCCGGAGCAATTTAATTGAATAGCCCTGGCATAGACCATATATGTGTATATAATTATAAACATAAAAATTTATTGCAATCAATATAAAAGGGGAAGTATATTTTTACATGTAATCTAAATGCTACAATATACTGCAAAAAAGGTAGGTAGGTAGGTGGGTGGGTGGGTAGATAGATGTACTTATAACTGTTCATATTATCCATCTTTACAGTTTGTTGGTAATTTTTCTCGTGCAGACACATCCAGTCCTGTGGACCTTAAACTTCTGAATAACCTGTGCTGTTTCAGCCACAGAAACATCAAGTTGCTGTTTGGTGATGATCTTTACCTTCAAGATCCTTGTCAGCATATTTTTCTTTCCTACGCTCCTGATCCCATCGTCCCTTACAGCAGTGTTTCCCAAAGTTGGGGTCGGGACCCAAAGTGGGGTCCCGAAACATCAAGGTGGGGTCCTGAAAAGATTTTCGGAATTAATTACATTTTTGCCGTAGTTGTTACAAAGGAGTGAGTATTTAAAATGGATAAATGTAGTATAAAAATATTGTTACTATGCCCATGTTTTGTTGACCTGATACAAATGTTTATCATCCAAAAATAGTTGGGGGCACAGGTCTCTGTTACTGTTATTTTGTGGGTCAAAAGCTGAAAGGTTTGGGAACCTCTGCACTTTGGTTCCCAAAGTTGGGCTTGGGACCCAATTATGGGTCATGAAGCACCTTGGATAATCTCCAGAAATCAATTTAAAGGGTAATAAAATAATTTTTGATGTAATATTTTCCCTATAACTATTACCAAAACACTAAATAAGTATAAATAAGTATTTATATTTGTGTATAAGCTGTTTAGATTGTAAAAACCTGTGTTTTTAGGGTTATTAACAAAGTTTGTGTACTCAGACCAGTAATATCTGGGGTCACAAGTTTTTGCCATGGATATTTTGTGGGTCAGAAGATAAAAAGTCTGAGAACCTCTGCCTTACAGGGACAAATGAGACAACTGTGCTCACGTTGTTGGTGGGAGGAAATTGCAGCATGCTGTAAAATGAAAAACAACAACAAAAACACATGCATGCACGGGGAGAACGTGCAAACTCCACAGAGAGAAGCCCCAAACAAGATTTGAACCTGCAACCCTGGTGGTTCCACAGTCCTGCAGCCCCGAGGAGTCATTTCCTCTCTGAATTTTCAACATTTTTACACAAGAAAAAAGTTTATCTTATTAAAATACATGGTTTAGATACTAGTTTCACTACCAGAAATACTACCAGACAGAACATGAAAGGGGAAAAGAAAGAAATTCTGACATAAATCCTTATTTAATTGTGCACTTGAACAAACGTGCATTAACTCATCAAAGTATTTAGGCTCAGCTTCCTATAGAGAATGCATGGATGTAAATACCACTCCTACAATGTAAATACTGCAGAACTATGATGCAATCCAGTTTGATGCAAACGCCACACTTTAAATTTTATTGTCTCATGTCTTTTTTTATAGGCTAAACTCCATTTGCTGTATATTTGTTCCTTTAGCTCAGTGTAAAGGATAAATCGATAAACAACAGCGGGGACAATGAGCCGAGAAGAGGGGACCATATCCAAGATAATTATCTGAGGATGAGCATATAGACCGTGTGGGTAAAGATAGTAATAAAACATTTATGAGGCTCAAATGATCCCTAAAATTTAGTTAAACTTTGCATTAGCACACGTTGATCCACAGCACAATAAATAAGCATATAGCTCTGGTTACATAACACTGTGGTGAATTAAACTTTTTTATTTTATTTTATTCATCGATTCCGTTTGAACTGTCGGAGGGTTTGAAGACGTTTGGACTCGATGTTTTTTCTCCACAAAAACATCTTCTCTGCTTATAACTTCCTGCTTTTTTCCCCACTGCTTAAATTTAAAGTATTATGTTGTGGTAAAAAAAAACATCACTTGAGTCGTTGCAGTTTTATTGCAACTATATGTAACAGACATGCTTGTTCAAGCTTTGAATGTGACACATTTCTCTGGTATTTAATATGTGTTCTCTTTCATAGACAATGGATTTCCTGCTGTTTTAAGTTGATGCCTCTCAGTATAATTTGATTAGTTTTGAAATTATATTGGCAAAGTGCTTTTATTGTAAGAAAAAGACAAAAGCACACACTAAAAACACGATTAATTCGGTGGCACCAGGAGCTTAAATTTACAAAACCTTATTAAGTTAGAGCTATCAAACTGCATTAACTGTTTATGCGTTATGACTTGTAGATATAATTGTGTCTGTTCTGTATATCTGACTGAATTTAACAAGGTTTGTAAGCAATAAAAACCGATGGATTACAAACAATTTATAACTTAGAGCTGGGTCGAACTTGGACAGAGTTCAGCAGGGTTTGGTTATAAGTTGGACCCAGTCTGCTGCTAGGTTTTCTTCTCAAAAAGTCGACTAAAAATAAATAATCTGTTGAATTAGAGCCAAACACTGATTATTAGATTATTAATATGGGTTGCTGCCAGCTTGCTAACTTCAGTTAGCATCAGTTAGCACCAAATGGGTTTAAGTGTAGCTTGAAACTTTTTGAGTCCAGTTTTAACCCGATCAGCTAGTTATCAAAACAACCCAGCGGTTTTAGTGTGCATCGTGCAGTTTTACATAAATCCTACTCCAGAATATTCTGATGTCATTAATTTTAATTTTTTATTGCACCACAGCCGTTTGCAGCTCGAACATGATTAATTGTTTTGCATTTAGAGGCTCTCTCAGAATCAAAGCACAGCCAGAGCAGATCTGGGTCTTATAAAAACCCATCTTTACTGAAGTTATTTTATGCCAGAAGCTTATCAGAGGGGTAATATTCTTCTAAAACAAGAAACAAACACTTTGTACTTTACATATAAATAAGTTTTAGTTTAACTTTGAGGTATTTGTCTCAGTCCATATTGTCTTCTTTTATGTTTACTGTCTATATGGGGTACGACGGAGTATTAGGGCCACGCAGCAAGATTTTTTTTATTATTATTACAAGAAAAAACTCATAATCTTTTATTTGTCCATTTTTCATTCCTCATTTCCTTCTTATTTTCCTCACACCTGCTGTGGACAGCCATGTTTACGAAGTAGGCCGCGATGCTTTGGTCACTGTTAGTGTAATATGCTTTCATCCAAATTAGCTAAGTGCCAACTAAATCTGTCAATGCATCCATTAATTACAATACAGATGCAGTTTATCATATAGTCGTTTGCACTATTTCCAAGTACTGCTACTGATAATTTGATGCTAATATGCTAAAAGATTAACTATTTGTTTTAAGCAATACTAAAGAACAACTTGACAAGTTGCTCGACATTCCTCATTTGAATGCAGTGGTAACTGCATGCTTTTTCGTGTAAAGGGTATAGAGTTACAACTTTAATTTTAGAATATTATGACTTTAATCTCGTAATATTATGACTTTATTTTCATACTTTAATGTCATAATTTTATGACTTTATTCTCGTAATTTAAAAAAAATGAATAAATCTCGTTGTGTGGCCCTAATACTCCGTCGTAGTGGGGTGCCACTGGTGTAAAATGGACACATTTTTCATTATTTAGCTCACTTTTTGAGTTAAAAATGTTAGACTTTAAATATTAACTTCAGCAGCGTTAGCAACGGGTAGCAGCAGCCATTGTAGATGCCTGTCGCAGGATGATGACATCATCCTGGTTATCTGAAGCTAATTTCCGCTAATGCTTCTAACGCTAAAGATAATGGGCCTCATGCAAGAACATGTTCGTATTCTTGTCCTAAATTTCTCTTACTTTTGTTCGTACAAAGGG